GAAGTATAGAAGAGAGAGAGAGAGAGAAGGGGGGGGGAAAATTAAAAATTATACTTCACGTTTAAAGAGAAATTAGAAAAAGAAAAGAAAAGGAAAAAGGAAATTGGAAGTATATCAAGGTAAAGAAAACAAAATTAATCTTTCGTTAAAAAAAGAAGAATCGTTTAATAATAACATACTAAAAGACAAGTACAAATGTGATCCGGTGAAAAAGGAAGCAAATAAGAAGAGGCACGCGAAAGAAACGAAGAAGAGGAAGACACGAGAGGATGTCTAATAGATTATTAATTTACACGTCGAGGATGCTCCGTAGGAAGGCGGAGTGCGCTGGTAGCGGCACACCTGTCCCAAACCTGTCCCGCTTGATTATCTTGCATTATGCAAAACGCGTTTTTTTATCGCGCCGCAACCCCCTAATAAACGGTTGTCCGGTTAACGGTTGACATAATACGTCGGCTATTAGTACCGATGATCGAGCCGTTTCACTTCCACACAATTGCTCATCCTCGTGCTCATTCCTGATAAAAAAAAAAAAAAAAAAACAATGTATCGTACAACAATCGTTCCACGTTTCCACGTTGTACGTATATAAATAAGCGTCTTAATACGTTTACTATGAGATTGGACATCGAAAAGTAATCTGCGCAAAATTCCTCGCGAGCCGCATTAATCCTGATTCGACGGATGACGACAGTGTGTCGGGCGATAGTGGAAAAAGGAGGAGCATCGTATGCAACGTCGCGTAGCTCTATCTACCTGTTCGTACGCGGCACGCACGCCCACCTGGGTAAGCGTTGAATTTATCGCGTTATTAATCTGCGAGCTCGAGTGCCGCGCGCGCCTCCGACGGACGACGACGGATTTACGCGAGATGCGCGACGCACGATGCGCACACGTCGTTACGAGAGTCCGCGGGGCAGTTTCGTCCTTTGGCCGAGGTCACGTACGATGAAGCTGTCGGGAAAATCGCCTGTCGAGACTTGACCATTTCGCGTGAATATGATGATTGGATATTAAGAATGGAATGCGTCGAATACGTTGTTCCGTTTTCGAACAATATTTATTACCCGATGCATCGCATTCTTCCTAATATTGTACGTATAACCTAATTTTAATCTAATTAAAGGGAATGGAACGTATTGTCTTGTTTTCGATTATTTATTTTATTATGATCTAATATTCTAATATCTATAATCTAATCTAAACTTAATGAAGGACAATGCAATGAAATGCATTGTTCCGTTTTCGAATAATACTTTTTATTCACTTTGTATTGCATTCTTCCTATTTCGATATTAAGAATAATGAATTAAGAATAATGAAATGCGTTGAATACAGGATGATGTTTTCGATTTTGTAAAAGATATTGTTTGTACTATCTCTCATGATAAAATGATATAATTATTCTTTTCAAAAGAAGAATATAAGACAGGAGATTTAGAAATTTTTTATCGCTACTAAGATAAAGTACTTTTTGATTGGATATTAATACATAAAATCGATGAAAATAGATGTATCAGGAAATAAGGAGAGAAGAAATCATTTCAGTATAGGGATTCGAAAGAGAACATTTGAAAGTTCAACGAATTTATGGATAACTTTCACAGTAGGAGTGATTCATACGTTACGTGGTTATATTTAAGATATCGTTTCTATAAAGCAATCATTTTTAATATATCTATTTGCTGCTACTAACTCGAAGAATTTAATAATTGTGTACATAAGAAATAGTTAAAAAAAAATTGGTCAAATCTATTAATTATAACACTAAATTTCTCGTTTCTATTTTAAATATTTTACCAAGATATTTTTATACAAAAAAAAAAAATCAAATAATTTCTATAAATCTGCATTTCAATGGATATTTCGACACTCATGTTCGAAACACTGAGCTCTAACATTCAAAATAATTATGAAGTTAAATGATTCATTGCTAGAAATTCATCGGTAGAAATCTTTCATATATATTTACATATCTCTATTGTAACTAACCTATCCACTTAACAAATTTCTCCTCTATAAATTCGACGTTCCGATCTGTTGCTCGATAATAGCAATATCTAATACATCGTAACAGATTGATCGTGGAAATTAACGATCGTTTATACATCCGCGATTTCGAAATATGCACACATATATTACCAACACTACGAATAATAAATTTCTTTTTGTATTCAAATTTCTTCATTATCAACATTATTAACGAGTGAGAAATGAAAAACAAAATGATCGAAATTTAATCGAAATGTTTTACCGTTTAAAAATTGAATTTCATCTTCGAACTCGCATACTTTCTAGTCTCTCGTGCTTGACTTCCCCGAGTCCACGGAGTGATCGCGGACACGAAATGGCCAATAAGTCAACGTTACGTGTTGCAAGCCCATGAAAGGAGCCTCAAAGGCGCCTAAATCGGTGCTGAGCCAATTTCCCTGGCGAGAAATCGCATTTCCCCGACAGTTCCTTTCCGATCCGTGACCGATACGACGCCAGGAAGACGATCGTGAGAGCTGTTGATTCGTAGAATCGATGGATACAAATGCGATATTTTTCGATTCTTTCTATTGAATTCCTTTTCGTATATAATCAAATAATCTACAATCTCCTCCTATGAGATAAGATAAGAAAAATCATATTTCGAAAGCTTTTTATACAAGTTCATTTTTTTTCAAACCTTCACAAAATTTTAAATCGCGCATGCAATCCTCGATTGATCGGTATCTGGAAAATTTGGCCGTGACCAATCGTCTGCCGATCGCTCATCACGAAGCGTTGAAACGAAGCGTATCTGGTCGGCGAGGCAATGCAGCTATCCTAGGCAAGAAGGCAGTCGCGGCCAGAGGCGATTAAAGAAAGCGACACGCCGCATATGTCACAGCGTTCACACGCCCCGGCGCTGCACCGACACCGACACCCACCGCGCCTCGATCGACCGGACCGTTTTCACGTGAACGCGTTATAACCCGAGGTATCGTCGCCTCGTGACTGTGTGCGGAGATGCAGGTAGCTCTCTCGCGTACCTGACCCCGTGAATGCGATCGCGCGTCCGTTCCGCTCGGACTGGCGTCCCCGCCGCTCTCCACCGCCGCTCCCCTCCTTATTATTGGCCGGCCTCTGCGGACACGTTGCACGACTATCCGGGCAACCTGCCTGTAATTGATTGCGCGCGTGCAATCATTCGCGTTGGACCACCGATCGCCGACCAGTTTTCTCGATTCGTGTTCTCGGCTCGCTCTTTCAATCTTTCATAGGGATGGATGGGCGCCGAGAATGTTTCACGGTGTTTTTAGTCTCGATGCGGCTAGAGTTCCCTAGCCTCATCTAGGGATCCCTAGCGTTGTTAATGCTCTCCAAATTTTTCTACTTTTAAACTTAAAATCCAATATATTTATCGATTATATGATCGTCGAAATTCTGCTAATTCTACTAATTCGCAAAAATAGAGAATTCGCTTCGAGCGCAGGAATAGTGAAACGGCGAAGGAAATGTTGGAAGGATGATGGCAACGGAGGCGTAAAATCCGTGGAACAAAGAAGAGAAAGCGCGGACAAACATTGTGTTGGTCCAACAACAAGAGGAAAAATGGGTGGAGAGAAGGCAGGTACGGGAAAAAATGGTGGAGAGGGAACAGCTGTTCGGAGGAACGGAACGAAACGGAACGGAACGGAACGGCCATTCGCGAGAAGAGAAAGACGGATCAGAAGGCAGTGCGCGGTCGTAGCGACCGTAAAATAAACAAGCTGGTAATAAACCGGCAGCGATGTCCAGCGTTGTAAATTACTCTGGCATGGAGAGAGACCTAACGCAGCACGGAGCCAGCCGCGTTTTATGGACCGCCCTGCACAATTCCCGGATCTGCGATGATGGCTCAATACAGTTGGACACGAGGTGTGCTTCCCCCTCGTCGTGTGTCGCTTCTTGGAAATCGATCGTATCGGCGCCATCCTACACGGCCTTTGTGCGAACAAGAAATGTTCTAAATTGTTATCGCCGATGAATCGAATTATTATTTCGATCATTATTTTATCGTTTTAAGTTATCGAAATAATATTTAATAGTCGAGTTAGTTATAATTTAGCCCTAGATTCCGAGCTGAAGTTTTTAAGTGTGTTTACACAGATACACTTGTGCAACTAAAACCAAATAAGAGTTTTGCAGTGTTTCGATCTCGGGTTGAAGAAAATCAGAGTGAAATTTTTCGATGGCCTCGAGACACGAGTGGACGGAATGCGTTAACGGGAACATTCGAGCGAGGCTAGGTCAATGCCGATCGACCTCTCGCTCAGTTTCTTTGCCAAATACGAAGGTCGATCGATCGAGGATGTAGCGGATGACGTAGATCATCCTCGATCTTCGACGTTCTAAAAGGTCAGCCCGTGTAATTCATCCTTCGATGCCCAAGAAGAAAGTTATTATCGACTATTTTCCAACTTGAACCTCGAGATTACTACATTTCAAGATCAATTAAGTGGATTGCACGCTCTACAAAGTTCAATGAATAAATAATCGAGAAGAAAACGATCATCGAAACGGACGAAACTGAAACGAAGGAAAATTATTGATTATAGACATGTATTTGTTCAAAAAAAAATAATAATAATAATCGTCACAGATTTCTTTCTTTCTTTCTTTTAATCTTCTCAAAAATATATTTTTGATATTTAAAAATATGCACGACACTGTTCCATTCTATGAAAACATCTTCGACTATCGTCGATCGATTCCACGTAGCGCTTTAATTCGCCCAGAATCTTGTCAAGTGACTTTTACCGGTTTTTCTCGTCTACGTCGTGACTCTCGATTCGATGCTCCGGATGGCCTTGAAAACGGCGACAAAATACGAAATATCGCGGCGTAAATCCACCGTGCCGATTTATGCTCCCTTCGTTTTAATGTCAAACGCGAACAACACGAACGAACACACTTGCAGACGAGATAAGCGCTTATCAAGGACGAGGTCTATAAATGACGATAATTACAGCTTTAAAGGGTAAAGGAAGCCGCTTAACCGCCACGATCAATTTTTTAAAAGCCGCGATATGATCGTGATTCCCTTAAAACGTTTCTATCCTTAATTAATCCCTGATTAATTCCATTCATTTATTCCATTGCTGTACACGAATTTTCTGTTATTGCCCCTCCCCCCCTCGCAGAATTATTTAATCCGATCGATATCGTCCGATTTGAATTTGGATAAGTCAATTTCGATCGAATCAAAAAATGCATACATATAAGAAATATTATGACGTATCTGCATACTTATTCAATATAAATATATATATATATATAAATATAAGCATACTTATTCAATATAAATATATATATATATAAATATAAGCCACAAAATCTCAAAATCTCCTGAATATTTTATACTTAATTTTGTCTGATTGTTTTCTATCTTCTACGCAGTTACAGTATATGTAAACTCGTCTATTTTTCCAAAGAATTAATTAAACATCTTACTTGCACAATTCGTAATATTGACGAAAGATCGTCACTGCGAGATCCAATGACGTTTATCACGAGGTCGTTCCTCGTCATTTTGTACGAAAATTTCGCTTGGATTCGACGTGAAACAATGGACGTTGCACGTTCGTTCAACGATCCGAGAAAATCGTGAAGCGAACGTTCGTTCGTTCCGCAATCGAAACGAGGAGACGATGGCGCGATGGTTACGGTGTTCCTTACGGTCTCGCGTACCAGCGTGGCCGTGGTACGCGTACGAGTCGCGTCCCGTTGATATCGCGCCAACACGCACCGCTGATAATATCTTTAATTACCGCCACCTGGACGAGGAGGGGTCCCTGACTCGACCAACGACAACACCGTGTCGGGATCGAACTTTGACGAGTCGATTCGACGACAAGTCGAATCGCGACTTAATGATGGTGGATAACGTCTGCGCTAGACTAGTCGCTTATCTTTGAATCTTGAACGACTCGAAGGCTGGCCGATAGGAATTTCTTGCAATGTTTAACCAGTCTTTGATTAATCGATTATCCTTATTCGTTTATTTAAATTCTATTAGATATAAGGAAATAAGGATCCTCACGTGCTTGATATTGTTTAAATATCTAGTGCTTTTGCAATTTTGTCGCAGTCCCTATAGGGAATAATGCTTTTTTATCTAAGTGACTAGTGACTTTTTTTAGCTTTTTTTTAAACACTGCTTTAACAGTGTTCTCGTGAGTTAAATACTTATAAATATCTAGTGCTTTTGGAATTTTGTGGCAGTTCGTATAGGGAATAATTTTTTTTTACGTGACTAGTGATTTTCTAGTTTCTTTTTTTTTAACGACGACACTCCTTTAACAGTGTTCTTCAATTTACGAGTTATATACTTATAAATATCTAGTGCTTTTGGAATTTTGTGGCAGTTCGTATAGGGAATAATTCTTTTTTACGTGACTAGTTTTTTTTTAACGACGACATTCCTTTAATAGTGTTCTTCAATTTACGAGTTATATACTTATAAATATCTAGTGCTTTTGGAATTTTGTGGCAGTTTATATAGGGAATAATTTTTTTTTACGTGACACTCCTTTAACAGTGTTCTTCAATTTACGAGTTAAATACGTAGAAGAATATAACAACGAATGGAAGTGATTTACAGAGACGTTGTTTATTTAAATTCTATTTATAACTTTAAAGAAGTTCATAGAGAATTGTGATGACCAATAATTTTCTAATTTCTAAAAACCACTTTGACACTTTTTATAACGATATTTCCCACTACAGATATTAATATAGACAATTTTAGAACGACGGAGTGAACACAAGCGACTCCTCAAGATTTCCAAGATCGAAAACCTAGAAGACTCGCAGGCGTCCAAAGTCTCGTTTCGTCTAGGAAACGAGCATTTCCTCTCCGTGGAAGCCTCGCGATTCTCCACTCGTTCAACGTCCGAAAGACACGCCCGGTATTGCTTTCAATTAGCAGCACCTGGAGGAGATCGGTATCCGGTACCATCGCGGCCAACGACAGAGGTGAGCTCGCCGCGCAAAAGTTCGCCGATAAAGCGAGCCGCGATCCTTGCGGGAACTTAATAATGGTAATTACAAGGAAGCCATGAAAATTTATGATGTTACTCGGCTGAATGTGCGCGCGCGCGCTCGAACCGTATGGAAATGGAAGGTAGTAAAAAAAAACTTGAAAACTTTTTCCATCTTCCCGTGTCTTTTCTTCGAGCACCGTCGAGTATATAAGCAAGTTAAGGAACGAATATTACGATTGTAACAATAACGTGATAATGATGTTTGGAAAATGAGAAATATATATTAAATGGATATTGTACAAATTATTATGAAATAGTGTATTGAAAGAAAAAAATGAAGCAATAAATTTAGGTTTAAAATTAGAACGCGATTTGTGAGCGAGACGATGGTGAATTGGTTCGAATTATTCGGCATTTTGCGTATGCATTTTTAAGGAAGGGAACGCGTTCTCATTCCTCTCTTAATTTGTGTGGAATCCACATATACGATGCAATTAGTGGTCAAAGTCGTCGATATTTGCTAAGCATCGGCGCCAATATTCGGCTCGCGACGGGAAATTGGCTGCGTTTGATGTTCCGACGATGGATTCCCGGCAAATGGACAACTCGTGTTCGCAAATTTTATAATGTCGTTTTTGAAAATAAGAATTCGGTATTTTTGATATCAGTTTTTTTTTTTTAAGAAATTATTTTAAAAATATCATCAATTTTAAATATTACGCATTATTGAATATTAAATTTATTCGAGTAACAGTAGGTTTATGCAAGAGAAAGATCAATGATTGGAAAAACGATCGAAATAATTTCTATGCAAATATTCTTAATCGACGCGTTCGCTCTGGCGTAAGTTCCTTCGTTCTCTCTCTCCTCCCTTCTCTCTCTCTCTCTCTCTCGTCATTATCTCGATATTATTAAGCACTAATAATATGTGACTCACGACAGAGAACAGAGAGAAAAAAAACCAGTCTGATTTGTTTTTGCACGATCGTACGCGGAGACCTTGCGTAGAATGCTCACGAGTCACGAGTTCCGCTTTTAATTTCACTATCTTGTCACGAGATTTCTACTCTCATTTATCTAATTTAATCTCCTTAACTGTGGCGGTACATTTAATTACATAGAGATCTATTGTCTTCAATAATAAATGCAAAAGTGTGTTCCAAATGCAACAGTACATAAATCAATTAATAAAAGAAATCATATACCATAAAGCTACTATTTAAAACGAACGTTAATTAACGTTCCGACTAAACTTCGGATCGAAACTTAGATAGTGGAAAATAAACTTTATACATATTCCTATACACATCTCTAATATATTTCATCTCTACGCTTAATCATCCTTAGGACACTTTCAATTCGTACATTATTTTTATTATATAAATACCATTTTACCAGTTTACGAGATACTATTTTATATCCATACCGTAACTCCAACGCTTAACATCAAACTTTAAACCACCAAATGATTATCCTATCTCGCAACGAGTACCTCGATCAAGCAACAATGTAGATAAGTACACGAAGCAATAATCCACTACGTACAACATTCAGCCACCGTAAGCTCGGAAGCCTTCGAGCTATTCGACCGGTCGTGCAGTATCGTCGCCTCTCACGCGGTGGCTGGTGAGGTCAAGGAACATGGCGCGTCGACCGATCTCATTTTTCGTTGGCGCTTGGTACGAAACGCGCGCGCGTATCAGGCGCAATGGTTGCAATGCGTCCCTCGGCGCATGGATCGCATCTCGGCCTCGACCGATGTTAAATGGCCGCCACGGCGCGCCGGGACGCAAACTAATGCCTCGCGTCCAGCTCGTACACGTAGCGGCGCGACTGCTACCGAGCTCGGTGCCGGATTCCGCGGCCCACCGCGTAATGAATCCACTTTGCGCCGTGCCGCGTTTCCTTCGACTTTTTCCACTTCCCCCTCCCTCCCCCCTCCCGCCCGATCGGTCTTTCTTTCTCTCCATGGCAGGCCACGAACGCCACTTAATGAAATGTCACAGGTGTCCTACCGATCGCCGAGCTAAATGTCGCCGGCTTCCCATACCCCGCCTCGGCGAGCAAAGCGATTTCGACTTTACGCGGAATGCCGTGAAGATGACGCCGCAGATACCGACCGGTACCCTGCTCTCTCTTCCGAACCCGCGATCCTGGAATCTTATCTCGCGTCGACAGTGTGTTTGCGACTCTTGGTAAATTGTAGGGAGGAGTTGGATTATGGAATTTATTTATTTTTTTTTTTCCCCTTTTTGTTTGGGTCGTTTCGAATCACGTATATTTCAATTATTCTCGACTGATTCGTATATATACAGATGATGTAACGTTTACTTTTTCCTATATATATTTGACATAACCTATATCCGGATTAAAGATTATAAAAAATTGTAAATATACTTTGAACTACGCATAACGGTGCAATAGATAAATATATATTGATAACAACACAGACTGTCGACTTAACATGGACATCATGATTCCCGTGATTCCCAGAAAGTAGTGGAGAAAGCGATGCTGAAATGTTTAGAACGCTTACATACCTTGCATATTTTTTATGTGTAAAACGAACGAGTACGATACATCGGTCAGCTTATTCAGTGATTTATATGTTCAACAACCTCTCCAATCATCGCCTCATCACCAATGTGCAAAGAAATCCCGCACTGACAAGTCTATAGAAAGCATATGATAGAAATTGCACAACTAGGATATATTCAGTAGGAAAGCGCATAAAGTGCAGTCGCGTTTCAACTGAGATCTCGAAAAGATAGGGAGAGCGACGATCTAATTCCTATTTCGCTGCCCTCTCGAGGCGTATCGATGAATTATGATACGCACACTTACGAACCTCCCTTGTTCTGTACACTGATTCCTATCGCTACTTCTCGCCGTGCGTCGATCTATCGATCGATCGATCGATTCAACCTCTTTGGATTTGGTCGGTTTTTCTCGTCCATCTTCGTGGACTGTTCGAGAGAAACGTCGAAGCCATCCGTCACCGATCATTACGCGCTCGCCGATTTCAATGTCCTTGTTAAAAGGGATTGCTTCGTGCGGTGACCTACGACACGCGGCAAGCTGACGAGAAGATAGATGGCGGTGCACGATTTCGCCGACTGTTCTGCTTAGCACGCAGCCAACTTGTTACGATTTGTTGCAGCATGGGAGAACGGTATCGCAGAGGAAAACCTGCACACGGGAAACGAGACATCTCTATCCTAGTTAAGTCTTCTTCAATTTCTTTTGTTTTCCAACTGAAGAATATGTAAATATTATTAAAGGAATTTTGCGTTAGTTCATGTTTCAAACCGCGTAGTTGATGTTTAAAGTTAGGTTAGGAATTGATCGTAAATTTGAATGTATCGTTACTTGCTGCAGATATGTACAAAATCTATTAAGACCGTGTTATGCAAATTGCGTTGATTTGCAACAACAAAAAGCTTTCATGACTCGTCGCTCAATATATCTTAATTGCTAAATAATAATTGAATGTCACATTAAGTCATTGGAAAATCGTACAAATTTAATTCCATGGAAACGAATAAAAAATGTGTATATGTATATGGAATGAATTACTGATTAACAAAACAAGGATGAAAGTCATGGAATCATCAATAAACATTGCAATTTAACTTTCATGGAGATGACGGTCGCTTTTGATTTACTTAACATGTTTCGTTTAGCAAGAACAAGTTGGTCTCAGTTTAACGGGCCACCTTCGAATACGTACAAGGTAGATCTTCTAAGTGACGTACACGGAAATGTTCTTTACAAATGGTCTTAAGCAAGTTGTAAACTCGTAAAGCGCATAAATTCGAATGACACTTGGAACAAGTAAGAAAGTCCTTGCGATTTAAGGTATAACTTAAGGTCACGTATTCTACAATTCTGAATTATGTAAGTAAAAACTCTCAATGTACATATAATTTTACAATACATTGATCAACTATTCATAATTAATTCCTTCGTTATCAATTTTACAGTTTTTCTCTCTTCGTCGATTTTTATTGACAAAACACCTGAATTCCTTGAAATCAACTCGAAGTTTAATCCAACCAGTGGTACACGCGCATAATCGCGTTCTCGTTGCTTGTCACGGGGCCCGCTACGTTTCCGTGAGTGCGATTTACGCCGTGAGCGTGGTCGTCGGTCGAAGCCAGGATAAGCGGCGTTTTATGGAGCCCCGTGCGCCGCTCACTCCATGGCGGAAGGGACGCACTTTGTTCCGCGGCTGCGAATGTATCCCCGGGCCTCGATCCACCCACAAGGAAACACATGAAGAAAGAGAGAGATGCCTTGTCGCGGGAAGAAGATTGTGGTCCATACGACGCGTCAGTTGGATTCTCTATACGGTGTCGCAGTGACAAAAGAACACTAAAGCAATATGACTGTCTTTTGAGAAATATTATGCTAACATTCTATTTTTTTGCTTTGAGTAATTGATTTCATCATATTATATTATATATTTAGCATGAATTGCGATTTATTATTTTACAAAATAACATCGGCTGATTTAAAACTCGAAATGGTAATAATCTAGTTTAAACTTCATTTTGTTAACTTTATTTTGCTATCCTTATTCTTGGAAATAATATTTCTTCTTCATATAACGGAATTGTGCTAGTATACGATATCTAATGCTGAAATTTATAGGAAACCAACGTCGCCCATTTCCGGACACCCTGTATGAGAGGATAGGCTGAAAGACAGCAGCGGAGGAGCAGCTAGGCGCAAGAAGGAGTGACGGAGGGAGGCAGAAGAAGAGAGACTCGGCAGGTGAGGTGTCACGAGGCGCGCGAGTAATATATCGTTGTTCGGCCCATCGTAGGTGGGTGTGCTCATCCCGTGGTGCTCGGTCTCTGGTATCTCACCCGTGCCCCTGGCGCTAAGAGAAGAAGAAGGCTAATGCTGGTATAAACGCGCCCGATCACTTTTTTTCCTCGGGCTCTTTCTCCCTCTTACCACCCCCTCCTCTCTCTTTCTCTTTCTGCCTTATCTTTTTTGACGTTTCTCTTTCTCTTTCAGCAAGATTGCCATTAGCAAATGCCAACGTGAAACGTGCACACCCGCACTCACCTGCCTGCCACTACACCTCGCCGATATTTTTCTTTTTGGTACTTTGTATCACAGAGATTTAGACAGATCATGGAACAGTTATTATATTCTCCTTCTTAGAATGTTTTATCTAACAATTGAGGAGAAAAGTAAAATTTTTCTCATTTTTTTTTTAAAACGTTTTTGTTGGAAGAATAAATTAGTCTTGCTAGATTTATTTAAAAATTTAAAAATGCATAGAACTTGAGAGGACTGTACAGGATATTAATTAAAAAATAAATAAGATGACGCTGTTTCATTTTATCTTATTTTAATTTAATAAATATGATTTTATATGGCTCGTGGTTTTTTCTATAGAATATATTAATAATATAACTTGTAGATACAAAGGGCAGATGTTCAGCATATAAAACACCATCTAATTATAAGAAAAACAACCAACAACTCTTGACACAATAGTAATAAGAAAATTGATAACACAGTTAGTAAATTATAGATATTACTCAAATGGTTCTTAATTATTTTAATTAAGTTTCAAACAACTTGGATGTATTTTCAGTTGGAGAATGATTGGCCCCAACAAGGATTCTTGGAAGGCGGGGTCCGCCTTCTAATTCATAGGCGGTGTAATTTGTGCGTCGCCGACTAATTGGCGGCGTTTCGCGATTTATGCTGTGACACCACTCGTAACATCTGCCCCCGCTGCACAACGCCATCTCATCCCTCGGATGCCCCGAAGGAGCCGCGTGATACCGGCCAATCATACATATTAATGGAACTCACGGGCCAACGCCGAGCCCTGAAATTGTTCGTGCAATCGATTCGAGCCGGTCGAATCAAGATGCCAACATGAGATAAACCTCTAGTCTAATGTTTTCCAACCTTTTTCGAGGATCCATCCAAATCCAAAGAGTTTTTACATTTTACATTATTGAATTATGTTTTTAGAATAAATTTCAATAGTTTCAAATTATATGAATTAAATTTGATGAATTAAAGAGTTGATGTAAAGATGTATAACATGTTCGATATTTCATTTTTACAGATTCAAGGTATTGTGCAAAATATGCAAACAATCATTTGAGTGACAGTGCATTTGGATCTTTCTAATATCTCAAGCATACTTCATGGAATATTTTTTGGAAATAAAATTATGGCACAGAATGTTAATTTTTAAGAAAAAAATCTGTGATATAGTGTAGCGATTAATTGGATATTTATAAAAATTTTGGAACACTAAAGGTAAAAGATTAATTAATAACTCTGGCAAAAAGTTTAGAGGAGTTTCTATCTGATGCACACGATCTTAGGTGTGGCCATAATGAGTGTCGCCACTTTACGCTTTACGATCAAGCTATATTGACTGTATGTGTATACAAACAGGCCAAAGTACCGCAAGATTTCCTTCGTCTGAAAAAGGATTTCCATTCGAGATTCAAAAAAATATCGGATTTATTGAGCTCACGAACGGACCGTTCTCTGGCAACATTTCAATTATAGAAACATATAGAACCGTGGTATCAGATCAACCTTATGTGCAATTAAATTAGAATGGTAATTGCATCGGTGCCGAGCCACTAAACAGAGAAACGATGGATTTATGAAGTATTATTAAGGGATCATATTTTTTTCTTTTTCTTTTTAATTTAATTATAGTGAATAGGATATGTTCTAATTTGTTTCCATTTGGAATGCTTCTATATCAAATTAAGATTTAAAAATGTTTTAAATAAGTAATTAATGAAAATTTTTTTGATATTAAAATTATTTCAAGATTCACATTTTAAAATGTATATAAATGATAAATTTTCAGCTTGTATATCCTTGCTATATACTATTGCAAATTTTTATTAAATCTAGTTATTCAAGATATGAGAAGCCTGTCGTGTCTTGATTGAAATTTTAATGTTAACATGCTAATAAGAATGTACTGTTTAATTATAACAACTTGATCTGACGTAAATTAGACATGCTAAAGTAACAATGTGTATATACGTTTGCCATTTAACTCTGGCAAACGTTCGCTGGCTTATCAAGATTTATCTTCTTTATAGAATAAAATCATGATAAGCAAACCCAATTGCGAAATATAATTGCATGTATTTATAATAGGAAAGCAAGTAATATTTCAAAATATGTAATTATCACATATAGTGGAATTTATACTTGAATAATTAATATTTGAAATTAGTTTTAATGTTAATATTATATTTGTGATTTTTTTTTATTTCGCTGTATTTTTGATTAAAATTTTGTTTTGAAAAATTTTACTACTAACAATAATATCATAATATTCTATATAAAAAAATCCAAATATTATATCCAATTGATTTCAAAAATTTTTAGCTACCAGAATATATACTTATTGTACTAGAACAGATGTTACAATGTTCTAGAACCAATTAGTTCTAACATATCCCAATCCAATCTTTTCCTCCAACCATTCCACCATCCACTTTCATCTAAATCATCTCTGAAACGGCTCACCTGGATCCTCTAACACCACTACTTGCTAACCGTGGCCAATTAACTACAGATTCATCCTTTTATCACGGGTTAATTAACGATCATACAGTACGGATCAATTTCCATGTGGCAGTAGATTCTGCAAACGGAAGAGTGAAAGCCGCCTCGCGCGTTTTCCCGATCTTTCCATAAATCGAATCGAGTAAATGTATAGAACTCTCTCCGAGAGAGGCGTAACGCGACGGACAATTAACCATCCGGCCGATTATTATCGATCTCTGCATACGAGATGGTCAGACGTGGTGAAAGTTAGACCGGTGACCTCTTCGACCCTTGCACGCAGCAGGAGTAGCGATGCGTGCGGAACGAATTCGATATAAGAGTGAGCAGAATCATAGCTTCTACTGTTTGAATTCATTTTTACAATGTTTGTGGAATAAGTTATTTTGCAGATGAAGAGGATATTTCATTAAATGAGAATTTTACTACTACAGAGAACGACTGATCTTATACATTGCTCAAGTTCAGTTATAATTTTTTAAAATATATTAAATATTACGATTTCTCTTATGGCGTTCGTGGAATAAATTATTTAACAAACATTTATTAAATCGAGAATTTTGTAACAAAAGATAGATAACAAATTTATAATTTTTCTATCTAACTTATGTGATGTTATTTTTTTTTTTTTTGATACGTTAAAAATCGTAACTTGTTTTTTTGAATATTGAAAGTTTATCTTTAACGTATTCATAAAATAAGTTATGTAGCAGATGAAAGAAAAAATTTATTTATTAAGTTGAAATATAGAATGTAGATGTAAATATATTTGCAAATATATTCATTTATCAACAACTTGTTGTTCCATCGAATCTTTTAGCAGAAGAATCTTGAAAGATCGATGAAAGATTAGTCGATGATCGATGAAATTCCTTTCCGATCGAGCCTTCGAGCTTCGTGATCGACTCGTATTAACATCAAAAATAAATTTCCATCTTCTCCAGCGTGGTGAGCGTACGGCAAAGCCCAAGACGAAGTGCACGGTGCCTGGGTGTGGCCGGACGGACGATCTCCGCGAATCGATCGTGACCCCGGACGATTTCTACGCGGCCACTTGAACGACCGACTCTCTGTATCCCGATACACACATACAAACGTGTAATACACGTATTAATAATTTCGACCTCGCTCAGCGTCGTCGAATTATCGGGGGAAACATAATTGCCTGGAGGCAAAAAACGCACGGATCGAGCGCCGCTTTCCTCATGCCTGACCGCGATCCTTTAATTGCCTCAATTAAAAAGCACGCGACCACTTTTTACTCGTATAAACGACCTATCTACCGAGCAACCGTTTAAATCACAGAAAAGAATCAAAAAGAACGTAGAAAAAGAGGGAGAGAAAAAGAAAAGAATTATTCGAAAAAAAAAAAAAAGAGAAAAATCGATCACGTCGACCCGTGCGTGCAATTAACGCGATCTTCTTAACCGCGATTTTAACGTCTCGATCTGGGATAAAAACGCGAAAAAATTGAGCATGTTTCGCGTTGGTGAAGAAGAAAAAATAATAATAATAAAAAAGGGAACTTTGAATCGCGTGCGACCGGTTCAAATAATCGGGATTCCACGGTGATTAATTCAAGCCGGAAGACGCGCGTTCCATCGAGGTTCGAGAGCAGTGGAGAACCGTTGTCGGCTGCCTGGACGAACGTCTTCATCGCGTAAGCGCAACCGATGGTGACCCGGTAGAGAGGGTATCAAAGGAGAAGGGATTAAAGGAAGAGGGAAAAAGAGGAAAGGGAGAGTGGAAGAAGGGAACAGCAGGTCGGAATTAGAAGTCTCTATGCGGCCGTCCACAGTTCTTGTTAACATATTTTTCGTCCCCGCCGCCGGCAGAGGAACAACTCACTCGCGCTACTCCGGAGATGGTGTGCACGCGAGTCCCGGTCACGCACGGTCACGCACTCGGTCGATATGTAGCCCATACATCAAGCTACGCTCGACGGGTGTGTGCGTATTTACTTGTACTGCGTGACCATGTGTGGTAGTGTGTGAAAGAGGACCGCGAAAACTAATTTCCGTCGAGAGGATTGGAGCATAGGATCGCGGCGCTGCGATCGTGCACGCCCACGGATGTTGATAGTACCGCGTATATCCCCGTGAGAAGTCTCGCAGAATAGCACGAGGACATCCACTTTTGCGAGAGTATCGTTTTATTATTGAAAATTGAAATATTTTTACAATTATAAGAATTATTCACGCGAATATCGCGTGCACGCGACGTCCATTACTTCTCAATAGTACGTTTACTCGATCAATCAATATTTGTTCCAATATTCATCATTTCACATTGTGAAGTCACAATACTTTTCGATCAAATGATCCAATTGACTATTTGCAACGAATTTAACCTAACTTTATTTATGTGCTATTTCATATGTCGTGTTGTTTATTTTTATCGCAAAACTCAGTTCGATGTGCATACTTGTCTATACAGATTTTATTCAGCCTTATAAATATTTATGATTTATAAAATATTAGTGAGTCGTCCAATTTAATGATATATCTGCGTATTCGACATTGTGCATGACGTGTACAACTCGATCCATTTAACAATTTACGTTAATTAACACGCATAAAAAAGTGAGGTTATAAAATTCGACTTGTGCAAACTTAACGAAAAATTAATCGAGCACGTCCAATTAATTAACCCGAACAAAAATTCCTTTGGACTTTTTTTCTCCTCTCGTCATCTCATAATAATATTCATCTTTCTTTTATCGCATGACGACCATACATGAAAGTATCTCGAGATCGTTGGTACTGCTTGCGAAAATTGCTATGGCTGCGCAGAACCGTGAAATTCCGTTCAATCTGCGCTGTGACTAACGCTAGCTCGATTAATATAAGTTGTTGCATGTTACGACCGTCTAATTGCATTCAGAAGATCGGTGTAACCTGTTCACATTGCAATTCTCGTTTGTCTGACTCAGCGATCACGATGCTTGCTTTGATTCTTATTGGAGATAAGTTTCTCTAATGCAAGTGTCGCTTTTTTCGAACAGTATCCCTTTTAGTTGCGAAAAAGATACGCTACATGTTATAGAGATAGAGGTTATATAGTATAGAATATATAGATAGGGCTTTAATGGTATGCAGTTAATAATAATGAAATTGAAATATTATCATAATAATTCCTTATGTATGCATCTTTTGTTGAAATTTCGTAAAAATTTATATATTTTTAAAATACATTATTTCAACCTGAAAATAGATAACCGATATTAATTTGCGACAGATTTAACGATATTCCTTTCGAATCTCAACGCTTCAACATAGTTTCCTGCTAGGATTTATGAATTTCTGCATGCATAAATATATTAAAGCAAAAGCAACATGGTGTATAAGGTTAACTAGAAATCTCGAGTGAAAATTCGAATGAGCTATGACATCATTAGAGATTCGAATGTCGTTTGTAGATGTATGCAAGACTTATGATTTGAATTATGATTTGACAACTAATCTTTCAATTATATATTTGCTATTAGAAATTTGTTTTTATCATGCATCTCAAGAAATTATATTTAAAAAATTATCAACAAAATATTGTTAATAATCAATAATGAATATTACAAGAAAATGATTGAAAACTAATAATAAGAAATATTATAGCCAGTAATGTTAATTAAACTTGCAAACAGAGATTAATTTAATAAATTTATTAAAAAGATGCGTTTTGATTTTCCTAATAAATAAATCTTAAATTCATTTTTGTTGTTCGAAACATAATAACATATAAATTTTGTCACATGCAGTTAAGTTGTAAATTACACGCATTTTTCTACGACGAAATATTTCACAATACAGTAGTTAGAAACATTTGTTAATGCGTGTGTGGTCAATAATATAGCTATAAAGGATAAATATCAAGTTGGAATTTAACTCTCTAAGCATTGGGCTTTAGCATTTAAATAAATATAGCGAGTAATAGACGAAGTAAATTGATTTGAATTAACGTCTGAATTTCTCAAATAGTTACGTAGCAAATATTTATAACAGAATAATATTCCTAATTATCATAAAGAAATAAAAATTAAATGATGTATCAACATTACAAAAAATATAGGGAATTGTGAAAGAAAAATGATCCGTATAGTCACTTCGCAATGAAAATAAAAATATTATAGAAAAAAATCAAAAACAAATGACAAATCTAAAAAAATTATTAACAAAAAGAAAACATCAAAAAAGATAAGAGAAAACATAAGGTAATCCACATCAAAAGGAAACGTCATAAAGGAATATAAAACACACGAATATATCCACAAACAGTATTTTATCCAATCAAAGTGAAAACAAACCAACTGGTCAAACTGAAACACATTGAAACGTTCAGATTGGTCTACATTTCCGTTTCATACCATTACTTCCGACATTTTGCTACATTTTCCACACGGATTCCTCTCAACCCAATGGTGGTGTACATCAGAGCGGACACTTTACGAACCTTGCCGTGCTGAAATAAGAAGATAACAGCGCGACAGCGCGCAGGATGTAAGCGGTGGCTGCGTGCATAAGAAATTACGGTTGCTCGCCACTTTCTCGGTTTGCTGTCCGCTTGCTTCGAGCGTGAGAAAGGTAACGATGACCGTCCACGCTTGCGCTCGCGCGAACCACGACGATTAACAGCCAAGATTTTTCACGATCGACCACTCTTAACACTCGTTTCGATCGAGATCTTGCAAGTCATCCACTGAATGCTTTATTCCGGATGGAACTCCTCGAATAAGATTACATCATGAAAAACGCATGTCTACATTGTTATCCTTTTTATTCTTGATGAAAAAAACATTGAAGTTTCTGTTTTCTGATGCGTCGAATCGAGTTAGATTATATTGTACGTTATGTCATTTGTACTGCGCAATTTTCGTATGACTTTCTATTTGAATCGTATACCCTGGAACGAAAGCATACGATATTTAATCATATAAATGTTATATATGTTGTTATAAATAAAAGATATTATTTTATGATAAAAGAAACAGTTATTGTTTTTATCTATAATCATTCAATTATAGGAAGGAAGAAATATAACAATTAGTAATTACTCTTTTTTCATAAATTATTGGCTTTGCTGTTTTGAAAGTTATGAACGCTACTTGATAATCTTACGAATAAAAAAAAGTGATTATTATTATAAATGTATAGCAATTGTAGTGATATATCTCTGTTGAAATTTGAAACTCAATACAATGTAATCATAATTTTAGAAATTTCCTTTCAACAATTTGGAAAATAAAACAAAAAATTAATATCTATAATGTTGGATTAATTTTAATAATTACTTGGATAATATTTATGTCAATTATTCGATATAATAATCGATTTTTAGAATTTCACAAAAATGTTAATCGCTCAACTTGTTATTATTTTTTAAAGTCACAATCACTATCTGCAGGAAGGAAATCTACTGACATTTCGCTATTTTCTTAGAAGTTTAACTGCGTCGTATGTTTTAATTATTTATATATTATGGATTTCATCGTATGATAAAATTAATTCATACTTTGATATTACCATTATTTAAGTACAAGAAAATTGAAAGCACTCAGCTATAATAAAATCAAATCATGTATATCTCAAATTAAATATTATCTCGAATAATCTTTAAATACCTGACCATAATTGTACCGTGACACGCAAATAAAGTATTCGAATATTAAGATAGTTAAATTTTTCGTTTAAGCTACTCAATCATACGGAACTAATTCGTACTCTGTCCTTCAAATCGTGAATATAAACACGTTTTGTAAAAAAAATCATCTGCATAATTCGATGCAAGAAGGAAAAACGTTAAAGAAAAAAGTTTGAAATCAATTAAACGTATCGTACACGATTTATATCAAAGCTGATATTTCATGTGTTCTTTATGCAATTGAATTTTCTGTGAATAAAGTTCTAGTTTATATCAATGTTTTAAATTTGTAGTTAATTTTTGGAAATATAAGATTAATCTTTATAAAGCAATTTATCATTATCTTTTGTAAAATTTTCTTATGACGATTTATAAAAATTTATATATATTCAGATAATCATTATTAATTTTCTTCGAATAAATTATTAATTAAATGTTAGTTCATTAATCATAACCTATAATTTTATTTACAGAATTTTTATACTTGTAAATTTTTTTTAATCTTACATTCAAATACAATATTTTTTATTTTTACCTTTTACTTTTTATTTGATTATTACTTTTCAACATTTTCAGTTTCATAAGAAATCAGAATTCAAACGTAGAAAAAAAAAATGTTCAACGATATTCCATAATATGTTCCACTTTCGTTTTCTTGATTCAATTCCCATCACCAATACAACCAGAGTATCAAAACAGAGGATACGTGAATTTATTAGCTTTTTTAACCACAAACATAGACATACATTCCAATTATACTTGAAAATCATAAACACCATCGACCGCGTTCCGTGCTTTAAACGAAAACTATATACACATTTGGTGTCGATTACTTTGGACAGTACGAAGAAAATAGCTGGTTAGAAGGGGACGATAAAATGGCTGGTAAAACGGTCGTAGCTCGACATACTGGCGCATACAAATGCCCGTGGAACATGATATCTATTTCATAACACCCACAAAGCGTCCCCCGTGCAAACGCAATCACCGTTACGTAATCCGGCCTTAAAATCGCCACGTCACGACTCGACTTGACTACAGACTGGCGTTCAACGGACGAAAGATCGTCGTCGCGTAACAGCGCTGCCAACCATTCTAATTTCCCATCGATATATTACCATTGGTGGCCGTTAGGGGCGACAGTACCGGGACAGATCGAAAGTGATGACGTTCTCTCGCCGCGAGACAATGGCGGCTGATGTATGCGGCCAGTTCTTTGCCACGATCTTGAAAAATGACCGACCGACGCACGCCTGTTTCTCCTGACGAGCCATTCAGCAGTATAATGAGGCGGATGATGTGACTAGGAAACGCGGGCACCAGCTGCGGACAGCCGGTTTCGAAACGAAAGGCGAAGATGACGTGACATGCGCACACAAGTCGGCACGATCGTTTTGTTCATGTATGTTAATCGAAGAAAGAAAAGTTATGAAAGCATTTTTGATTGGTATACTTTTTGTGTTATTGATAGATTGTATAAACGAAAAGAAAGTAATTTTATAATAAAATTTTTTTTGTTTAATTTTTTACGCTTCGTTTTCCTTTAGAGATTAGAAAATTTAGTTTTTATTTCGTTTCGATAACAATATTGATTCCATGTCAGACCAAATTTGTTGCTACAATTCTTGAATCATATAAAAAGTCTTTTGATTTCTTCCTTAAAGTATTCACAAAGAATAAACGCACACGGAAGGCGAGACGATAAATCGTTGCAGCTGCGCGTGCAGAGATCCGATTCCCCTAAATGGGATAACGATCGAAAGGCGACCGAGATCGCGGTGTTAACCCTTAACATGCACCCCTTGAAAACTCATCGAGCCAGGGAATCTTTTGTCGCCATGGTTCGCTGTTACCATTTGTGGCCTCTTCGATTGGATCTCCGCTTGTCCTTACGGCACCATCCTCGCGCGGATCCTTCGCAATTGGATGCAGTGTTCGCTACTGTTCTGTCAGATGGTGACTGGTACGCGTGCGCACTAGAAACTGGACGTGAGGTAAGAAATAACGATTATTTGTACACGACAAAAAAATTGAACAAGCATATGAGAAAACCGATGAAAGAAGAAAAAGAATAGAAATAAAAGAACACTAGAAGAAAAAATATATTCTTCATATAAAAAAACAAAAAATCAATGTAATTATCAATATAATAAGTCAATAGTTCATGATTTATAATTGAACAAATAATCTTGACTAACTTCATTATGGGATGCAGATTACCAATTAACTTTCGTAAAAAAAAAGATATACGAGCAATATATAGAGAACATGCATGGAGACAACCGTTAAAGGTTTCAGATTGTAAGATAGAGGGTGCTAGTGAACAAGCCACAGCTAGAGACCTCTGCACTCATAAATTCGCCAGTTCGTTTGAGAACATGCCGCTACGGTAACTCAATATTGGAACGCCTTAACTATCGAGTCCTGACTCTGTGCGCACTTTTCTGTGCCGTAATTCCGCGCGATGTATAAAGCAGCCTCGAGCGAGGCACGCGTTTCTCCGTGTCCAGCTACCTTTAATGAGGCCGACTCCTGGCGTGGGTGAAAGAAGAGAAAGAGAGCCGACGATTAATAGTATGCTGAGGACGATATAGAGGAGCCTGGCGACGATACCCTGGAGAAACAACACTGCACGCCGATATTGATCGCTTGCTATCGAGATCGTCTCTATCCGATTTGCGCTTCTCTGTCTATTCGATTTCACATCTGGCCTGTCACATGCTTCACAAGTAAACACAATGAACAAATGCTAAAGATTTTGAGGTTAGGTTTTTAGATCTAGATTTAAACAATATTTTGTTTATATATGTTATGTTTATATAGAAGATATTATCATTATCCTTAAAAAACAAATTTATATTAGATTAAAAAATAAATGTGAACTTGATATTCTAATTAATTAATTCTTTCAATGTGAATAAAAAATAAATTTCATTTCCACAACAAGAAGAAATTATCATTTTAATTTATATTATCTAATATCCAAATTCTTTCAGAATTTATACATGCCATCATACAAGAAATATCAAGTTCACAGCTGATCTTCGTGGAACGCAAACAAAACACGGTAGAATGGAAAAGCAACGGGTAGGTTGGTCAAGCAACTTGTCCTGGAGGTATAATGCGCTTTGCACGTGTCCCCGGTTGTGGCAAAGAGGATATCAACGCGGAAGCGGCGGGTACCGCGACGAGAATCACGGTTGTCCTTTGCAGTTTCTCTTCTGGGGCCGAGCGTTCTTCCCAAGTGTTCGGTTGTAGCTCGCTCCTGCGACCTGTTACGCGGCCTGATGGTTTTGTTTCGAACCAGGGACACACGCTTGCCACTACACTCTCGCCAAGACATTGATTCATCCTTCTTCTCCGTGTCTCCACCGTTAGTCGGCGCAATTGTACCCCATTGCATGTTTTGTTCACGTTTATATATGTTACAAAAATTTGATCTTGAAGTAATCTTTTAAGAAAGGATGAATTGAATGAATTTTTGTGAGTTCAAGTGCTTTTTAATTTACTAAGAAATTTTTATTAAAAAATTTGAAAATTTGATGTTGAAATTTTTTGTATAATTATAGTAAATTTATATATATTTATATATTATAATTGCAAAACTGAGAGCAAATATTAATTTTTAAATTATATATCATTCTTTCCCAGAAATTATCGATTATATGATTCGTTTTTCCGATTCTATATTAATAATTTTCAAAATTTCAGCTTCCTGGATATTCGAAACTCTATTGTCTTTTAATAAGATAAGGTGTTTATTATTATTATTGTTGAGACATTTATTATTATAGATTAATTGGATACGCTAAAAGTAATAACCAATTCTTAGATTAATCGAAATAACGCGACATTGATTATTATTCCAAAAAAGAGAGATTTTCGGATGAATCATTATTCTCGTTTTTTCAATTTCGCTTCAGTTACTATTTATGATTACGCCATTCTCTAATATTTGGATTTTTAAAAACTAATTACCATTAAAAAATGTTATTCAAATATTGATAAAATGAATATTAAAATTGTAATTATAATATATAAATATGTAATTATAAATATTATTTTTAATATTTAAAAATTTAATTTTATTAATAAAAACATCAGAATAAAAAATAATTCCACAAAACAAAATTTTTTTCTTAAAAAGTTTCTTAAAATATAAATGCAATTAAATTTCCCGCACCTGCACCGAATTCGTGTCACGCTGTCCTGTGTAAGTCACAGTGGTTGCATACGTAAATGTATATAGTTAGCTAGATACTAGTTAGCCGTGGCACGTATCGTCTGTGCTCTCCAGCCACGACCGATGATTATCTCGGTTTCAGCCACAAAGCACGCCAGTCCCACGCACGCCTTGTCGAGTTATTAATCGCCACATAATTCTACAATTACAAAGGTTAATCCGGCGTTTTCACGCTCCGAGCGTCGTGGGTGCTGTGACAGCTTCACGACAAACGACACTTAGATGGGGGCGCTCGCGTCAAATAGTGGGGGAAAGAGAACGGGTCTCGTTGTCAGGCCAATCTGTGTCACTTTACTTTCGATCCTCACCTTTGCCTCTGAGGGACCGAGAATTTCGCGTTCTGCATGGAAACACTCGCGTGATATACCGCTGCAAAATAGTTAATAGAAAGAGTCTCGCCTCGTGTATTACGTGGGATTCGAATGGTTGACGAGAGAGAGTGAAAAACAACGTGATTAACACTTGCACTGTCCTCGCAGAGGAAATAAGAAACAAACGATCGTCGCTGGGTGTTGTTTGACCTATACTGTTTTCTTGGTTAAAATGTTTTATCTAACATTTCAAGATACATATGTGAGAATTAAAATTTTTATCTTTTTTTTTTTATGACTAGGAAAAATAAATTAGATTTAATTGTCAGTGAAAATAAGATTGTCTGTCTGTATATATCCTAGTGTATATATATGAATTATATTTCATGAATTTTTCATATAAGTTACATATAGAAATGAAGCTTTACATATTATTTTATATTTATTTTTTCATATAGATTTATCCATTTTATATAAATATTGTTTTTCATTTTTTTTACGAGAAGATGATTTTTTAAACCTTAGTAACTAATTGAAGATAGAATAAGCGGAGTATTCGCATATTTCGAATGATCAACCGATTTATAAGAGTAATTTACAAATTCAATTCTCATAACAGATCGATAATTTAACATCATATAATTTGTTTTTTTTTTTTTACATTTTCCAAATATCAACTTATAAATGATCTTAAAAGATTTCTTGAGATTCAAGATTCTACGAGATTCATATGAACCAAGAATACGACAACATCAATCGGCTGTCGACTCTTAATGTTTCACTTTACGGCCTCGGTATATCAGGCTTACCGAATGTAATTGATCGCGACTAACAGTCAAACGGTTAATCCAAACTCGTCTCACAAATCATCTCAAGGAGAATGAAAATAAAGAACATGTAATAACTATAGTTTCTAACCCTGCCAAATATTCGAAAACCTCGAACCATCCCCATCCAACAAGGTAACCTTTTCAATGATCTCTCGTCGATTCGACTCCACGAATCGTTGAAAAGTCGTGGCAAGATGATTAATCGCGGTGGGTATATCCCGGAATCCGGTTGTATCGTTGCCTTTATCTCGAGTTTCCTGCGCGTAACGCTTGCCATTTGCGCGGCAGCCGCCGGCTAATAAGAAAAGGTGGTAAAAGGGTAAGATAGTTCCGCGCTCGAGCATTGTCTCGTAATAAAACGATAGGAATTCCACCGTTTATGTTTGTCCCGATCGGCTCTTTTCCCGATCCCGTTGCCGACCTGCATTCCGTTCGAAAAGTCAACTGCGCACGCGCGCATGTTGCGTGAGAATGCGCCCATTTTTGTCGCGATCCTCTCCACCAATAATAAATCATTATATTCGCATGTTTAGTTAAAAATGATAGTTTGCGCGCACTGGGAACTGGGCGCAGCGAATTATATAGAATGCTGGAAATCACGATGGTGGGATTTATGCGTAGTATTAGCCGCATTGAATGTGTTATGACATGTGTGAGAAACATGTTAAATTTTGTTTCATATTTGATTGTACTTGAGCCGCACCTCTTTCGGATTACAAAATATGATAAATATGGTAGAATAGTAGTACAATAGAATAATTTGGTCTGAACTTCATTTTGGAAATTTAAAATTTTTTTTTTATATTATCTGATATTGCTTTATGAATAAAGTACGATATTTTGAAATACATTGATTGTCCAATCATTATATTTCATTTGTAACAAGAAGATATCAATATCTATTTCGTAAATGCAATGAAAAAGTAAATAGTGCAAGGAAAGTTTAAAAACATTGTGATTGAAAGTTGGTTTTCTCTGTTTCAACGCGTTATACTGTCACTGATCACTTTTGATGTTGTTATAACGTTACAAATTGAATAGATAGCAGCTATTATCCTTGAAGCTTCTAAAAAATCACATTCGATTCTGCATAATCTGTTGAATATGAAGGTTATATATTTATCGTTTTGCACTGTCAATATAAGTTTCTATTTATAAAATTACAATAAAATTATTACCATCGTCACTGTAATCCTATAATTCTTCCTACTTGAAAGGAAATCTCAAATATAGCAAATTACACGAACCACGAACAACAGAGATAATGGTGGGCGAGTCTTTTTCAACCATGTTTATGTCCCCAACACCATGTAACAAATGAGGCCGCTTTCAACCGCGCATTACGCATTGGTCACGGTGAATTAGGCGCGGAAGTTGTGCGCCACGATGTCACCGGGCCGTACGACCCCAGCGCTTCTTGGGAGGTGAGTCGGCGAGAGAATCGATTCGACTCGCTTCTTATCGGACCCTGCTAATATGGCTGGTAACTGTGTCTCATTCTTACGATTGGGGGAACCGTTGGATGCTTTTAACGCGGTAATTTCTGGATTCTTTTATAAATTGTGGAATGACAACGATTGAAGAGGATATTTTGATAATATGGTTTTGTTTTAAATAATTCTGTTTGTTGGATTTATAGAAAAATAATGATTATTTTATTAGAATTATTGATTATTGAAAATTATATTGAAAATTTAGATTTAAAGATATAAAATTAAAATTAATTAAAATGATAAGAAAAATTATTTAATAAAAAACAATAAATATATACGAGATTCTAATAATTTCAATTTATCTTTTTGTAAATCACTCATATATCAATCTTTCGATTGTCATCCCATAATTTTCAATGATCTCATCATTTCAGAAATGACACTATTAAACACAAAACAATCTGATCGCAGAAAACTTGAGAAATTCGAGATCATGTACAAATATTGTCTATGTTTTCTTGGCGTTTATTAGCGATTGACTTGACGCCTATCTCAACGTGTCACCATGATGGCTCAGCTGGGACACCTAACCTTCAAACGTCGTCTCCTTACTGTGCAATTAGCAAGTTGATGTTGAGATCATTCTGAGTGGTTTTCAAAGAAATAATTCGACATGGAACGATGTTATCGAAGTGTTACATGTATCTCGTATATCATGGAATAATGTTTCAAGTGTGTCGCGGAAATTGTAGGTGTTATGATTCATGAACGTGCTTGAATAACTTCTTTGAGTATCTTGTTGGAGAATTATTCTTATTAAATTAAGTGATAATGATATTGTTAGTAATCTAATGCAACTATAATGATAGCAATTTTCAACTTTTTTAAAATCAAAAAATTATATTTCCATTATAATACCGCACGATGGTGTTGCATTGCAATACAGTAGCATGGTTAATCAAAATTAACTTCATCCTTTCTTTCGAAATTCGAAATTTACCCGTTCCAATCCTCACAGTGGTTTCAACAGTGACCTCGTACAACCTCAAACGCTTACCACAATAAAAACTCAACGGTGCCTCCTTAATTCAGCTTATCCAGTCCCAAGCAACATTCAATTAACGCGGCTCTCCTGCAATTTGTGCCATAAACCGGGTCTCAACCTGAAACGCAGAATCGCGTCAGAAAATGAATACCCGGTCAGGTTTCCTTGCTGAGGGAGTGGTGAACGGAATGGAAATTTATCGTGACTCGCTCGAGGAACACTGGCCAGGTTCACCTCGCCTTAGTTGCATAATGTTCCACAGAATTCTGATGTCGAATGACAACGAGCATTATGACGATCGACGACAACGACGACGACGACGGAGATGACCTTAACCTTTTTTGCGGCCCGCCCGGAGACATCGGACTGTCCCTTATGGCTCTTTTCAATTTGATCGATGGGCTCGCTTGGAATTCCATTTGTCCTTTAGTATACGATTCGTAAGTAAGTTTTATTTTATGTTCTTGGTATGTGCAATTGCGATTTAAAGCAAGCAAGTGTACTTACTTGTGAATGTTGGAAGATTTGGGGTTAGGTTCGCGTATGATTGATGGTTCGTTTTTTGTACATCGTGTGCGAGTTAAATTGTGAGAAACAGCTTAGAATTGGATTTAATGGTTGAAACGATGAAACAAGTTTATATGAATGTATCGTGTGCGAATTTTGAAGTTCTGGAATTTGAAGTTCTGGAATATGATCATTAAGTTAAAAAATATAGAAAAATATATTAATAATTTTGAGAAAGTTAATATAATATTTTGTTCATATAATAGTAATATGAGACATTCCAGATAGTAAGAGTTTGATCTAATCTTTCTAACCTCTAAATATAGAGATTTTTATATTCCACTAAAAATTAACAACACTTCATTGCATAATAAACAATAATAAACAATAATAAATAGTCAAAAACAGTATTAGACGATCATTGTCTTTAAAACATCATATATTATCATACTTACTAACATCTAACATCATATATACATACTTACAAATTTTTCAGTTTTCAGAATTTTATCGATTATTTATTTTCAATTTATTTATTTCCTTTTCGCATTCCTCCATTTTTGCCATTATCGTTCAATGTCTTCATTTATTATACACAAGCAAACGTGTAAATTAAAAAGATAATACAAAAAAAGGAAAATATGTCGTATGAAAAGAATTTATCGGCTCGAAAGAACAGCGGTCCAATATGCGTATCGTTGCGCGCGCATAATTAACTTAAGAGTAAGAGAAGGACAGGGATTGCCATCTTACGGTAATTACGGTTGGTGCCATTATTGTAGATTATTCTCGTGTCCGGCTTTTTACGTAATCCGATAGTTACTACCGATAAACTCGATAATTATCGCATAAAGTCAGTTTTTGCCTGTTTTCAATATTTATCGTGGAAATTCCGATTTTTTTTACTGTGAAAAAAGACTATAATATTTGACTATACCAAACTATTTTATATAATTTCTTCTTGAATATGTAAGGTTAGTTCTGATAAAATTGTAATAAATATATTTATGTTTTAAGTAGTTATCTTATTAAGATTTCTTTTCCAATTAAGATCTAATCTTTCTCAAATTTTCAGTATAACAAGTACTTACGCATTAAATCTAATAATACGTTATGGAATAAATAACGAAGTTTAAATTTCTATATTAACGATAATCGATGATATTATTGAAAGGAATCGAATAAATGTAATGGTATTTTATTTAATCGTGGTGCAATTTCAGCGATTACATCAGAAACGTAAGTAATCTACCTCGCCACTTGTCCACAAATTCTTTCACTCGACTACTTTATCCCTCGATCAAACAGCCAGTTACTGATCGCAACTCGATTTATCGAGCGTCAACACTTTTCTCACACCTATTAGCGAACCTATCAATAATACTCTCTCTGAGAAACTTAAGAAAATGATCGCACCGCACACCATTAGGAAATCCTAGTGTCTACACCCGCGTCTCTTTAACACGCCAAATAGTCGGCTACCTATATTTACTGTTATGTGCCATAGATCAACGTACTATTTCTAACCAGTCGAGATTATCGCGCAGATATCCGACAATATAGAATCCATAATACCACGAACAGTTACATAGATACATAGCTACATGTCTTTAAGGAATGTGTTGACTTATAGATAATTGAAGATGGAGAAAGAAGATTTCATAAAGATTTCATAAAAGGTTTAGTATACTGCTCTTTTCTAGACATTTTGAAATATATATAAACATTTAAAGTTCCAGTTTTTTTTTTTTACAAAAATAATGCAGAAAAATAAAATATTTAATTGCAGTAAAGAGCTATGTTTCTCCAACTTCATCGTGTGGAATATTATTGGAATTTGATGGAAAGTCTGACAGGCAACGTGATATCCGTCTGCGTTTTACGTAATATCCATAACGACAACACACGAGGAAAATTATCTTCGATGTTAATCCCTGTTCCAACGCACCCACGTCTTCCACGACATTTCCATATTCTATCGCGATAAGCCGCGACCAAGGAAAAACGAGACACGGGAGGAGCCGTGCTGTTTGCTATTTTATGTCACCATATAGAAATTTTTTTCATTCTATCTTGCGACACGTATCGTGTCTTTTGTCGTTGCTCTTATGATATAACGTTGCACGTGGGAAGAATTATATGCGTAGTCAAACAAATAGTGTTGTTAATAATGAGAAAATTTGTTTTATTATTTTCTTTCTATAATTTTTATTGATATAATGAAATTAACTCTTGAGAGACGTTTCGGTGCAGTGGTTCTCAATTTGCAGATCGTGATTT